GATGACCCAAGAAGCTGTAGATAAGCTCTGCCGCCAGCATGAGTACTTCTCAAACATGCTAAGAGATAAGGGGAAGTACGCTAGAGCTTGTAGAAAACCCTTCTTGGAGATAAAATGCAAAGATAAAGACAGATGCCACTGCTCAAAGAAGAAATTCAAAGGCAAAAAATTCAAATCTCACTTCAAGAAGAGGAAGCATAAAAAGCCTTATAGGTTTTTTAGGAAGAAAGAAACTCGGGGAAGAAACCCAGGCCAAAGATGTTACATTTGTGGCAAAACAGGACACTTTGCTAAGTCTTGTCCAAACAAAGCTCATAAATCCATAAAGATGATTACATTGTTACACCTGGATGACCGAGATGAAGTAGAATCTCTCTACTCAGAACAAAGTTTCGCAGATGAAGACACTGTGTTTGCCCTACAAGAATCTTTCTCAGATGATTCTGGTAGTGATACAGATGACTCTAGCCAAGAGGAAGAACCAGTCCCAGTCTTCGCCGTTGATCAAATTGATAATATCACAACTGTTGCTCCTCCACATCCCAATGTGGAGATTGAGATACTACCATCCAAATATGAGAAGCCTATCAAGGTAATAGGTTTCCTTGACACCGGAGCACAGAAGACTATGATGAATCCAGAAATCTTGTCACCTCATTTCTGGAAAAAGGAGACCACATACTTTATAGCCGCTGATGGAAAAACCTTTAAAACAGAGGTCATTTCCCAAGCACCGGTAGGTATCCGACTCTTTAAAGACTATTTGGTCCAAAGTCATTGGAAGTAAATTACCCAACAAAGACCTTCTAATAGGAATGGATGTTTTCAGTTTAGCACACAAATTATTCATCCATCCTACTGGACTCAAATTCAAAAGAGAATTCAAGCCTTTCGTGCTAACCAACAAGCTATATTCTCTCTCATAAGCTCCACCTGAGTTAGAAGAAATCAAGATAAAGTTGAAATCTTTATGTTCTGACAGTCATGAGGATTTCACTCATCCAAATCCACTCTGGAAAAATTCTGATTTCTTTATACAACTACCATTCAAGCTAAATGAAGATGTAAATCCTACAAAAGCAACCCATCCAGGCATGTCTCCATCTGATCTTAAGCTAGCTAGACAAGAATGCCAAAAATTGCTCAGACAAGGTCTCATAGAGCATACAGAATCAAACTGGTCATGCCAAGCTTTCTATGTAGAAAAAAGATCAGAAAGACTCAGAGGAAAAAAGATATTAGTCATTGACTACAAACCCCTCAATCATTTCTTGAAGGATGATAAGTTTCCTCTTCCTAAGACATCTTCTTTGCCTATCTTGCTAAAAGAATCCAACATCTTCTCCAAATTTGATCTCAAATCTGGATTTTGGCAGTTAGGAATTGAACCCAGCGAAAGACAAAAGACAGCTTTTTGCATCCCCAATGCACAGTACCAGTGAACTGTCTTACCTTTCGGCTTGAAGGTAGCACCTTCATTATTCCAAAGACCTATGACAAAGATATTCGAACCTCTCCTAGACAATGTTATCATCTACATCGATGATATCCTCTTGTTTTCCAAAGATATGGAGAGCCACAAGAAGCTTTTGAACAAATTTTTTGAAAGAGCAAATCTGCATGGAATCATGTTCTCAGAAAAGAAGATACAGTTAGCCCAACAGGAAATTGATTTTTTGGGTATGAAGTTTTCTCAGGGGACTTATCAGCCTCAACCCCATATTGCCAAAGAATTATTCGACTTTCTTGAAGAAAATTTAATTGTCAAGTAGATTCAACAATTTCTGGGAATTCTAAATTACATTCGGGATTTTATTCCCAAAGTTGCTAGATATATCAGTCCTCTCTCAAAGATGCTGAAAAAAGACTCCCCTCCATGGGGACCAGAACAAACACAAGATGTCCAAGAGATAAAAAAGATTGCTCAGATCCTCCTGCATTAAAAATCCCAGGAAATGGAAAGAGAATCATCCAGACTGATGCAAGTGATCATTACTGGGGCGTAGTCTTCATCGAAGAAATGGAAGGAAAGAAATTCTATTGTGGATATGCTAGTGGACAATTCAAAGAAGCAGAAAAGCATTATTACACCACCTACAAAGAAGCACTGGCAGTAAAAAATGGTATCAAGAAGTTTGATTTCCACTTGCGAGGACTTCATTTTGAAGTTCAAATGGATAATTCTTCATTTCCAAAGATCCTAGACTTCAAGAACAAATTGCCACCTGAACCTCAGATCTTGAGGTTGAAAGATTGGTTCTCCAGGTATGATTTCACTATTAAACACATTAAAAGAAAACACAACCTCATCCCTGACTTCCTTTCAAGGCCTCAAAAACTTGTTTTTATTATATCTTCTTCCCATAGCTTTCCATTGATCTTCATGGTAAAACCTTTACCTAATATAGCAAAAACTAGAAAGCTATATCCTCCTGGTCTTGATCCAAAAAGTCCTGAAGAAATCATCCAATTTGCAAAAGCACATTATTATTATTATCTTCATGAGACTTTAAGATATAAAATAGTTCCTCCAACCATGTTTGATCCTACAGAAGAACATCCCATAATTTTTGAATTATTATGTGAAATTGGGTGGGATCTGTGTGAACCAACTCTTTGGGTTATATGGTGTAAAACAGTCCAACATCCAATCCCAATTGCCTTAAGAACACAGTCAGCCTATGATATTCTGATAAATCCAGATAAGGATAATTATTTGTTCTGGACTTTATTAGAATGGTTCTCGCCTCTCCCATGGTGGAGACGTGAGTTAAAAAGGATCCTCAATTTTCAAAGAAACCAAAAGGGAAAGACTAGGGAACAATGTGAGTCCTTAACCTCCATTGCCATCATCAGTCGCCCTTATTTTCAGAAACTTACAGGACAACTCTGGTCCAAAAATAAAGCTTATTTTTGGGGAACCTTTGAGACATATCCTCCAGATCAAAGTTACAGGACACAGTTGATCAACCATCTCAAAGAAACAAGGATCCACTAGAGGAGCCAAGATGAAGCCAGTTCATCACACAGTCGTCTAATCCCTTCTCAGACAAGCCAACAAGGTATCAACGCTTTCATGAGCAGAACTGAATACTACGTTCCTGATGAACAGTTTCAGACAGCTAATGATCTAGGAAAAAACGACGAGGACCTCTACTATGCTGATTTGATGATGAACAGCTGTTCTGATTCAGACACCTCAGATCCAAATCTCTCTCCTAGTCACGAACCTATCATCAAAGGGAAATAATAATGGGAATCTACTTTATGAGCTGGCTGACACTCGTTGTATAATAAGTGTACGTTAGTTTGTATTTTATGTGAGTCATGACCATGTAGGCCCCCTGTTTTTATTCGTTCTTATCGTCTTAGTCAGATTAGTTTGTCAGTTTGTATGAGTCACATCCCACGATGGTCCTTTTCTATGCTTATCTTTTAATTAGCCAATGAGAATTGGCCCATGTGTAAAAAATGTCAATCACTTGAGAGCTCCTCCGAGTCTATATAAAGAGGCATCCTCTCAGTTTGTAATCAAGTTGAGTTCGAAATAAAATCTCTTGTGTTTCTTTACTCATGGATTTCTAAATCACTTCTCTTTCTCTCTCTCGAAAGCTCTTGATACTATGATAGTATTATGATCTCAGTATTATGCTTGAAGCAAGTATGCTCTGTACTCGCCTCTCTAAGAGGATCTTGTACAACAGAACGCTATGAAACCTTGATCCAATATTTCTGGTCCTTAGGACTTATGATAAACTTGCCTGATATAAGACAGAGGCTGAAAAAGTAGGCGAGGGATAAAATAAAGTAAGCAAATTCTTATATGAAAGTAACTGAATTATAAATCTCTAAGGCTCCTGGCCATAGTAGATATTAATTTGATGACAAAATTAAAATTCTATATTTTAAAAATTAGATACTAAATATCTCTATTTTAAAATAAAAAAACTAAACTTATAGATTAACAAAAATAAATATTGATCAAAATACAATTTAACATTTCAACTACCAAGTAAAATCTTCGAGACATAGACCGATAAAAATCTTGCTCACTTCCCCTTGTTTTTGCTTTACTTGATCATAACCACCTTATATATTTGATAGTTAGATAATCAATAGTTATTACCTTTCACTTTTATATCTTATTTGTTCATGTAATTATCTACATGAAATGATATTTTTTTTTTACACATATATACTTCTTTACCCTTAAACTGTTTTAAAAAATAAACTTAAAATATATTTTTAGTCCTTTAAAATTAAGATAAATTTATTTTTAAACCTTCTAATTTATAACTATTATTTTTAAATATAATTTTTAAAAATATTATTTTAATCTCTTAATTAACTAATAATATATCTAAAAATGATATTAAAATAATTATATCTCATTAAATAAAATATTTTCACTAACAGAAACAATAATAAGTAAATTTTATACAAAAGTATTTGACAAATTCTTTAATAAAATTTAAATATAAAGATTAAAATATAATTTTTTAAAATTATAAAAACTAAAAACACTAATTTTAAATTCAAAACATTAAAAAAAATTTACTTTAAATTTATAAAATTAAAAACATATTTAAACATTAAAAAAAATATTGCCCTACAATCTCACTTCTTAGACATGCACTAGCCACCTAATTCCCCTTTCAAAAAAATATATTGCCCTTAAATTCCCTATAAAGAAGAATGTCATAAATGTTAAAAGAACAAGAATTTGTATGCAATTTCACAAAAACTTTGGGTTGTTACAGATATTTAAGATGCAATTCTCTCATTTCAACTAAATTTTATTCGGTAAAGACTACTATGAAGAACAATACTCTCACTGAGTTGGAAGAGTACATTGTGCATAAGATTACAACACGTTTTGGATACTATCAAATACTAGCTTGTACTTATAAATCTGCACACCAGCTAGTGCAACGGTAAACATTGATTTGCTTAATATTAAAAAAAATATATTCAACACAAATTACAAAAAAAAATCAAAATCAAGGATAAATTAGTTAAAAATACATTAAAGAGTGGAAACGGGTCATCTATCACAAAAATAAAGGAGATATATTTGAGAATAAATAAAAACTACAGAAGGGTAAATAAAAAGCTGTAAGACCATTACAGTCAACCATGAAGGTCTTAGTAGTTAGATACCCTCCATCCTGCAGGCAAAACTAATTTCTTTCAACAAAAATCTAATTGCAAATATGTAACAAAAGGGGTGGAAAAAGAAATTAATCCCCACTGAATTCTACAGTATTAAGTATCTACTGTAAAATTTTCTGAAATTTTTTAGAGAAAACCACATCAATTAGTTTTCTTCTCTTCTTCCTTTGCGGCATCTGTCACTGCTGAAGCAGAATCCACAACCTGGTCATCCTCACCCCCAAAACCAAATTCGTTTACACGTTTCTTGTCCACTGGATAAATCCACCTCTGGTACAAATATATGATAAAGATAAGATCTGCAAGGCAGGGAGGGATAAAAGAAGTTAAGACAATGACAAAGGTGATTTAATGAACTGATACTTGCAAAGTGCCTAATCCTCTGAGAAAATTCAATGTTACGTTTACATGGCTTAAACAATAAATCAAAATTGGAATACTGCTTCATAAATTAGCCCATTCAAATTTGTCGAATTATGGAATAAAGGACTGGATTCAAGAATGATGATCCTTTTATCTAAATGGCAGCATGAAGGTTCGTGAATGCAAGGCAATCTCAGAAAACATTATAACATAAAATGCAAGTTCATTTCATTCCCTTCTCTAAAAATTAAAACTATCAGCTTCAAAATCGCAATGGAGAAGGAACACCTTTCTTCGGGGAAATCCTTCACGGAGTAACAAAGTTTAACCATCATCTTGCTAACACACAACCATGAAGTTCAAATTTCACTTAATTGGCTCTCAGGTAAGCTGGGATTCAAACTCTCCTTATACTATAAATACAAGAGACAAATCTTCCACTATCAAGCATTCAAATGCCATGGGCTTTGTAAGCCTAGTTGCACCCAGCTTCCTAATCCTTGGGAAGAAATACCAGATTTTATCCAGTTATTCTACAAACAACCTTTCCACCTCTAATCATCAGGTCTTAGACATATTTTGTTAAAACAAATCAACATTTCATGCACCACAAACATATTAATCTTAAAACAAGGCTATCCTTGGTATTTAAAACAGTTACACAGAATAGCGGGTGGTAATGATCCCAATCTTACCATCACGGAAGACAGAAAGCCGATGCAATGTTGGCATTTTTATGACAAATGCAAAAAGGTCATCAATTATGGTGTTGAGAAACTTGTATGTCATTTGCCTCCAAGGTAGATGAGCAACAGATTTGAGCTTGTAGTTGATGAACAGTTGAGGGCACATCATAATAAAGCCTGCAACAGTTTCCCAGTATAATAAGTACAAAGTTTACAAAACTTAAAAGGTTAATGATCATGATAATCGGCATTGAAAATGGTTAAATACTTTGTTACGAAAGTTTTTTCTTTCCCACAAGACAAAAATGATGGTAGAAAGAGGCAAGTAAGAACTAAGAAGATGATTTTTTTCAACAAGGGAAAAGTAAAAGTGCTGGCAAGAAAAATAGCAGTGTGTTCCCCATAGGTGAATTTCATGTTTGTTCTATTTCAGCCAAAATACAGCATAATAGTAAGAAGAATCTTTTTTAATTTATTTTTTAGGAAGACAAATAACCATGCTTACAGCAAGATAAGGTTTAACTCATACAAATGAAAAAATACTCATTCAGTTACAAGTCTCTGCTACCCCAGCAGCACTTGGGACTAACAACTATGGGAAAAAAGGATCACCTCAATTCAGGACATTCTTGCTAGGGAAGCATAAACAACAATTTCAGGCAATTAAAGGCATGCCAAATTTATCAAAGTCAAAGCACTTCGGTTTAATTTAATCAATTTAGATAGCTGTGATCATTAATGGTAGTATCAACTAAAACATAATCATAGCACAACCAAATTAGAAGAGTGCTTACCAAACATGTATACACAACTTGTGAGCGAAGACAGAATCCAAGAATACCAGCTCTTGTGACGCTCATACATCAGCGAGTAAACAGAAAAGCCAGCAACAAGGAGAAATAGAACATAGAATAAATACTTCATTGCAATATCATCATACTCCTTTGTTTTATTCCGTACATATGACTCTCGATCTCGGAGCTTTAACATAGGTATCCTCCCTGACCTATCAATCTGGGAAAAAATAAATCACAGATTGCAGATATCAAATATTAAAAATTAAAGAGAATCAGAATTTGTAGTAGACAAAGCTGGGATGTAAATGCAACATGTATGCCCCCTCCCTCACTCAAGAAGTGTCAAAACAGTAAAAAGGAAGGTCCAAACAACATATTCCATGTATACATATACGTTATCTGTTTATACAGTATTTGTAAACATGAAAAATCTTCACACATGTTCTACATATGCAAACAGTACTTAGTATGCGAGTTTGCAATGTCAGCAACAGCAATTATTATCTCAAGAACATGCTATTTTTTATACTAAAAATTTCATAAAGCACATCTATCAAATATGTTAACATATACATATTAAAAAAAAAACTAGAAGATCACAAAAAATACCTCTATGCGCATGGCTTTTCCAATTTTCCAGAACTCAATAACACAACCAATTCCAGAACTTGCAAGAATCATCCAAGAGGTGTCATTGTCAAGCAGATAAAGGAAGATAATAAGCTGACAAATAAAGCTCACAACAACAGTCTTTGCAGAGAGTCCTTCCATAGATTTATTTTTGTTCCAAAATTGGATGTCTGGATAGAAAGAAAATAATTAGATGATAACTTGTGTCTCTAACCAAATCCATATGTATTTCCTTATTAGAGGTGCTTTCTTAAAAGACTACTTGTACAATTCACTTACCATTCTTGAAAGCCAAGAAGTCAAAGACTGAATGAAGAAGAGAAACAACCATGGTAATTGCCAAGAGGTAAGGATTTCCTTCCAAGAATACCCTCTGATATAATTATCAAAATCAAATAGTTAGGCAACTAGAGAAACAAGGCACTTTATCAATTCATAAGGAGAGAGACAGATGCACAACAGGGGACTTTCTTATATTTTGGAATTCCATTTAAAAAAAATCTAAGAGCATTAATATAAATTATATAAATAAGCAGTGCTTTATGGTTCAAATGCAAAGCTGGTAAAAGACAAATCCAATAAAAGGGCATGATAGAGATGAGCCTTGTGAGTTGAAATATTGCACAAGCAAAGGGTTGCTGAAGGGAACACAAACAAAACACATTGCAAGAAAATAATGGAAGACAATTCATCTATTTTCACCATACAGCTTAAACTATTGGGATTGTTAGCACATTACATCATTAAGGGAGATAAATATCCTATATGGCCAAGTACATTAGAATTGGACACATACCAGCCTCATTCTTCTAATTAAAAAAGTTAAATTCTATCACAAGGTAAGTGGGCTTATGCATTATCCACACTTCAAGCCTAAAGGCTCGTGTGAAGGGATGTGTTAAGAGAAATACATAAACCACCATTGAAGATTAATATCTCACTTTTTCAGAGATGAATGCATATCATTTATAGAGTCAAAGATTGATTCCAGAGCGTGGCAATTTACAATGCATGGGAACCACCATTTTGGAGGAACCCAACAACTCCATCCATTTTTTTATTTTATTTAAAAAATGTAATCACTATTCCCAACATTATAAGTACCGAAAGATAGGTGTACCTTGAATAGAATACTATGAAATTTGTTTTAACTTACAACACTGAGATGCCATAAAATAACAGAAGAAAAGGCAAAACTCAGAACATAAAGTAATAAAGGACAATGATCAAGGATGAGATGGTTCGAGAATTATCAATATTCAAGCAAGACGTGGCTTTAAATAACATATTGCTCAAATACGAAAGGACAAAATATTTGATGATTTCCAAAGCCAGATTTTGTTTTAAATATCAATCCAGGGTACTAGGATCTCATACATCCGCATATAGAAAATAAAACAAACAAATTGCTGTCATATATAGATACAATCCAACAGCTGAGAAGTTCTCAAAATAATTTCATTGTATGTTGAAGTCATGTATATAAATCCAAAATAATTGTTTGTTTCTCAAAAGTTTTTCAGAAAATTGGAAAAATAAGCAACTATTTTTTCTGAATAAGCAGAACCAAACACACATTTAGACTTTGAGGATCAAAAGCATAGAAATGGCTTTTATGATAAGCATAATCCACTCTATAACAAGTTTGAGGGTAAAGACATATCCTTGACAATGTGGGCATTCTGCTGACCAAAATACACTTTAAGGATTCTTGCTACGTGAAAAGTATGGTGATGTGCAACTGCAAGACTTCATTTCATTTGCTATAGCTCAATAGTGGATGCTACAACACAAGATTTACTACTAGGAAACGAAGGGTCAAAATCATAGTAAATCAGAGGTAAGCACACCAGGATTTTGTACAAGCACCAAATACCATATTTATTAAAATGTCTCCCAACACATAAAAAAGAGCTATTTTCATCAAGATTTTATTTAAATGTAATATTCAATTAAGAAGTACTTCAGCAATCGAACATGACACAGCCACTTATTACAACCAAACAGGAAAAAATATAATGGTTTAAGAACTAAATAACATGATATCACAACTGGAAGATGTCAAGTTCATGGAGAAGGATGCAGTGAAAGAAAAGAAAAAAAAGCTAAAAACAAGGCCTCAGAGTTCAAATGAACCATAATTCAACAAAGTACTCAACATGCATGTTCCATCAAATAAGTTCAGTCTATGCTATAAATAAAAAATTATGTAGAATTGAGACAATTTTCTAAAACTACAAACCTTGAGTTCATCGGCCTCGCCTTCAAGCATGCTTCCATAATTACGGTGAATCTGGAAGGACTGGTCGATCTGCATGAATAACTGCCACTTTGTCATACTAATGGGACCAACTTCCAGGTTAAGTGATAATTCAGTTATTGTCTCGTTCAAAGGTATCAACTTATCCCTGAGTAGCCAGAACTCGTTGAAAAATACAATTGGATAGTAGTTCCCAGTAAAAGGATCAATGTTCAAGGCTGGGCACCCCAAGTTAAGGAAACTTGGACATATCATATAATCAGCTAACTTGCATGAATACACTTGTTACTCAGTGTCAATTTGAAATTCAAAAAATAAGAGACATTACTGAAAGTGAAATGACCCAAAAAATATTCAATTGCATAAGGCACTGCCATCTATATAAGTTCTCCATTATTCTACATTAAACTATTAATCTTGCATAATATGACCATATTATGTTTAATAAGCGTACAAAAGGGACTCCGTGCCTCCATGAATTATTTTTATAAATAATAAATAATAAAAATTATATAATAGTAGGTGGTTATTAAAAATACAAAGGTTGTTATGAAGTGAGAAAAGTTTAAAAAGTGAAATCTATGTGAATGAGTTAGAAGGAGTTACAAAAGGGTAAAATGGTCCAAAAATGTATACATGAAAAAGGCCTATCGCCTTTATTATTGTTATAGATTATAGATGATAGACATGACATCCAGAAGCCAATGCCAAGAAAGGGGAGAATAATAAATAATAAAAAGGAAATAATAATAGCAAACAACATAAATGACAAGGATACAGGGAGCAATATTTGGTGCTACGCCTGATTTTGGGTACCTGAAAACAGGAAAAGTATATTATAAAAATAAGCACTGCCAAAAATAAATATACATCAATTAACTACCTCTGCTAAAGGCAAATTAAGAAGTAGAATTTATAGGTTTAATTGTACATAATCCAAGAAACATACTGAGTGAAATCAGCAACCAAGTTTATCGTTATGTTTGGTTTCCAATATGAAACCCACTCCACAGGACCATCATCCTTAGAATCATCATCATCTCCAGTTTCATCAACCACCTAACGCAACCAAAAGAGAACAATATTGAGACCAACATGAAAACAGTAAGTAAAATCATGAAGTAAAGCATAGAACACTAACCAATTGAAAAACTGACATGATTGATACAGACACTACTAAAATATATGGATTGGTGCAAGTAATTCCATGTAAACATACCGAGCCAAATCTTAAGGAACAGATCTAGGGGCACAGCACTTCTGGACCAATAAGATATAGCATTTACGGAATTAGATTTTAACCACAAGTTATTGTTAGAACTTCTAAACACTGGTTTCAACTATGGACTTAAGGATAGCAAACTATATGCTCCTTCAAAAGGCTCAATGAAGAGGGAGGAAAAGACAGATGAATTCCCATGTTAAATAGTTTCTATCACTTTGTGCTGCATAGATATAAATGACATTCCACACTTTTCCCCTCCCCCAATATTTTAAAAGTTTCAAAATTAATTTATGTCTCTGTAGGTACATCCATGTCATAGTTAAGCAGGAGTTTATAAACAAAAAAAAATTAAAAACACAAATTTATGTTTTACTATAAAATATTATAAGTTTACTACGGGTCTACGGCTTTACAAGGTAAGATGGGATACCATATTTATAAAGGTATCTAGACATTAAACATAATATAATATGATAGTTTTAATGTTTCAAAACTCACCATAATAAACATCCTTAACTCGAGCCAAAGTACCATCATAACAATTTTGCATAAAGCTAATTATAAAAATATGAGAGCAAATAACAAACCTTGGATGTCACTTGAGCCTCACTAGAATCTGGTGAACTTCCCAACAGACTTTTCTTTTTATCTGCTTTTGACTTGGGCAAGTGTGTCACAACAGCTGAGACCAATAAAAACAAAGACATCTCATAAATAACTTTCTTTCAAATATTTAAAGTGCCTAAAATATCAAAAAGTTAAAAGTCATACGATGTGTCCTTCCGAATGCTGCCTGAGGCTGGTATTCCGGATCGCTTGGGTCAGGTGAAAAGCCAGAGTGTGCAAAGAAAACATGAGCATATAGACTCCCATTGTGCTTCAAAGACTGAAAAAAGAATAAGCAACCAAAAAGTCCAGTGTTATGGGAACTAATTTTAAATTTTCTTCAAGAACCAATTTAAATAAATCACACAGAGCTAGCACTAGCATTTTCAGTCAGTCATACCTCAGATGGATGATACTTCAAAGTAAGAGTCCTGGTACTCTCAGGTCCCCAAACAGCATACGGAATATTGGTTTCATGCCATACAAGAGAACTTTCACTACCAAAATCATTAAACTTCTCGTGCTCAGAAAGATAAAGCCACATATCCTGAACAAAATAGCATCCCAAAAGGAACTTCAATTAGCACAAAAACAAAAGGCAACGCAACACCAACTAGGAAATCATTTGTAGGACATGCTAGTAAGAAAATTTTGATAAAGACATGCTAGGAACACGCTATTTTGAACACATTATTTATTATTCGCTGACATTCATTAGATATCACGAAATTTATCAGAAGAGAAGTGTTGCAAACTCTCGCCTTCTGATAAACTGACTGCTCTTACGCCAAAAAAAAAAAAGTTTTTTCAGTACAAGTTGATTATTTTGAGACTTCCGATATTGAACAAAGCTAACATCATAACTACAAAACTCTTCACACCACGCGACGAGGTAATCTCATTAAATCACAAATCGTGACCTAAAAGTATCGTCGAAATAATATAAACAAGTAACCTAGGCTCAAAAGTAAATCGAAGTGACCAGAGAAGTGGATTAAGATAAATAAGAATAATAAAAAAGAAATCGAAGTGAGATCATGCGATTGAAGTTGAGTTAGCAGAGGCGAAAGTGTGTACCATAGGCTGTGCTTTGTGGAAGAGATTGGAGATGAGAGCGGAAGGTTCGGTAGGTTTTTTGGGGGAAAAGAATTTGGAAGCGAAGTACCAGAAAACGACCATGCGAATGATTCCGGTGAGGCCAAACCCTCCTTGCTGCTGTTGCTGCCTCCCTTGCGGTGCCCCACCGCCTTCAACTGCTGCCGCAGGCGGCGCCATCTTCGGCGGAGAAGGATAGAGAGAGAGAGAGAAAGAGAGAAGAGAAAAATCAGTGATGGAATCGAAGATTTGAAAACGAATACTACTACGAGTGAGAGACGGTGTATACGATATTAGTAAAGGGAAAAAGAAAATAAAACGAATTATTTTAGAACTCGGTGGCCACGCAATCTTCTCCACCCCTACTTTATGCAATTTACAGTTACACTAAACCACCTTAGCTTAATTATTTTTTAAAACTTTCCATGCATAATATTTCTTAATTATAAATTTTTAAATAAAAAAAAACGTTTTATGAGTTTTATTATAATTCTTAAAATAATCGAGTGAAATATTGATGAGCCGAAATTTAAAATAAAATATTTGAAAAGATACCTTAGTGTTTATTATCATATTTGTGCCAATTTAAAAGTGAATATTGGATCATAAGGCCCAAACAGAGTTGTCTTTAACGCAGTTAATCACGTATTAGGGAAGCAACTCTTTCTGGCTTTCCCTTAAATTTTTATTTGGACGTGAAAAACTTCATAACGTGTGTGATAAATGATAATGCGAAAGCAACACGCACTATATTATATTATATATATACTAGAGTATGTTTGAATATATAATCGGAAATTTAAGCTGTTTCTTTTATTAAAGAAAAAAGGTTATCTGTAAAGTAAGTTGAGTGTTTGAGATAATATCCAAAGTTTAACCTGTCGACAAAAATGAGATAAGTTTTTTTTTTTATAATAAATTTAAAATTAGTATTTTTTCTTTCATAAAGTGTGTAATGATGCGAAAGCTACACGCAATATAGTGGTTTTTTGACCTAAGTAAATTAAAAAAAATTAAAAATACACGAAATAAATTAAAATAAAATGAGTAAAATTTTCATGACAGGAGTTGTGTAAAACTGTTGAAACACCAAACCAAGCACAAATAGATAACCATACAGAATAGGCATAATAACATCCGAATAATAGGTGAGAAGTATTCTCCAAATCTTCGCCACATCAAGCACATCCACTAACAGAAATATTAAGAACCTTCCGCTTAATTAAGTTACATTTACTTGGTACCTTATTCAGCAAGGCTTTTCAAGCAAAACCTGATACTTTATAAGGTACACAACTAGACCAGAGAAATTTATGAAGTGGAAAATCTGCGTAGATACCATCATTAATCACCGCCTTGTATCTAATTGAATTAACTCATGTTATCATGATAGTTATGTTCAATTAAACACATTGCATTCTATGTTAATTCATTTGATCCTCAAAGGATTAAACTTACTTTCGTGATTTAAAACCTAAGTTTAGTTCTTAAGGTTCCAATATTTAGGCTTACCTTTTAGTTCTTCCTTAAATATCAAAAGTTATGAAAAAATGATTTTCAACGCTTCACATATATAAAAGTACTAAGAATTACGATCAAGGGAATAAGTTAAATAAACTAGGAAATAATTCAATTAAACAAAAAGGTTCTCAAAGGCTAAGGTCCAATCCCAAAATAAAAGGGAGAGGAGAAGAGAAGCATTCAAAATCAGGGTAGAAGAAAAAGAGAAGAGAAAACATTGTCTTGAATCTTTTGCCTAAAGTTGTCACCCCTCCTAGGGTTTCCCCTAGTTGGTGACTTCTCAAAATAATCTTGAAAAAGGTCTATTTTTTTATAATAAAAAATGATAGATAGGAGATGACACATTCATGACTATTAAACAAGGAGCTAATGATATGTTAGAGATCCTCATATCAAGCACCATTATCCATTCAGTAGTTAGTCGAAGCTTAGTAGTGTCTAATTTAAATTAAAATTTTCTGTCAAAATGAGAGTTAATAGAGAACCATTAGAGAAATTTTAAGTATGGTATTAATTGATCTCTTTGAGTAAATATACCTACTAAAGTAGGATTTTATGGTCGCAAGGGATATCAAACTCATGTCATGGAAAACACAAATTTTGACAAATCTTATATCATTTATATCAACTTCCGATGACCGAAAAGATGTATTTAAACCTAAAAATTGAAATGGTCTCAAGCTTGTTGAAATTAAAAAACATAAAATAAGAGCGTGCAACATTTATCATGTGCGTGACAAATATGACGGTCAAGAATCAAGATGTAGAATTTTAAACTGTGTCTTCATGAAAAATGCATAACTTTATTCAAGATTTACGGTGACACTATCATCGCCTTCATCTCATGCCGAGAATTTGAGTTGTTACTATTTTAATCCCTCTTGCTTAAAAAATCAACCACTATAACACTTGTACACATAAAAACATCAATGACTTAACAAGTTCAATAAAAAAGGAAAATATGCAATAAAAAGAATAAAAATTAAAGATGCAAACAATTATTTATACAAGGAAATTAAACAAACATCATTAGTGGAAAAAAAGCTTTTAAAATCAGTTCTCAAACCAATTTTAAAAGTTAGACTTTTAAAATCGATTATATATTTAACCGATTTTAAAAGTTAACTTTTAAGATCGGTTGTTTTATAACCGATTTAGAAAGTCTTGGTTCCGAAAAAAATAAAACTGGAACGAGCCGTTCCAAGTTATTAAAAAGACCTAAAACTGTCGTTTGGAACGAGCCCTTCCAGCATAGTTTGTCATGAGTTAAAACCTATCCAGAATGGATCGTTCTCATTGTAGAACGTGCCGTTCTCTTTTCAGAACGGGCCGTTCTCATTACAGAACCCTAAATTCAAAATTTACCAGAATAAATCAACAATGAAAGTAGCCAGAATAAACCAACAACGAAAGTAGAGACACGAGAAGAACATGAGAATGTTACCTTGATATAGTAGTCTTGCAAAGAAAATGAAAAGTTAGAGACTTTAGATGAGAGCACGAGAGAGTAAAAAAAAGAAATGGATAAAAAAATCAAAGAGAATGAGAATGGAGGGAAAGATAAAAGGTTTCTGACGATACTTTTAAAATCGGTTATCTAAGAACCGATTTTGTATGTAGTATACAAAATCAGTTATTAAATAACCGATTTTAAAAGTAGCACTTTTAAAATCGGTCATAAAATAACCGATCTTAAAAGTACTTTTAAGATCGGTTAAAATTTAACCGATCTTAAAAATGTTTATATTATTTACAAAATTATCACCACATTACTTTTAAGATCAATTACCTTTTAACTAACCTTAAAACTTCGATTTTAAATCCAATTTTTTTACTAATACATCCTTCTTAAATATCAACTAAACTACAACGTATCAGTCAGTCACATCTCCTTTTAATTGATTACCATTAACTCGTTATCTATTAAGATATAATATTAGATATGTAGATTTTTGATTTAAAAAATTTCAAAAGTAGAAAGATTACATGAACAGAACCCAAGTGGTCCAATTTTTTTTTTTTTTTTTGGAATGAAACTATAGAGTTAAGGTTCATTATTTAAGGACAATTGTAGAAGCGTCATTTTAGAGAAAAAAATAACTTTAAATATTTATCGGAACTGGAACCCAGTTATAATAAAATTAATTAACTTGCACACAAATCAAGAAAATTGGTTAATATTATTTAATTTAATTAAAAATTATTAAAAAATATAATCTCAATTATATAAAAAAATATAATCTCAATTATATAAAAAAAAATATAATCTCAATTATATAAAAAAAAAATATAATCTCAATTATATAAAAAAAAATATATTGTATTTTGTAAATAATATTATTAAATAAGGTAAATGAAAGATAGTAACGTAGCTTTTTCTTGGTAATGTAAATAAGGTAAAATTAATTAATTTTTTAGTCATGAAAAAATATTGTTGTCGTTGTTGTTAAACAATAGTTAAGTGTTTGTTGAAGTTTAAAAGTATTGTCTTAATTTGAATGTAGTAGTAAAGTGTTGAAGTATTAATAATATTTACGTTTGTGATTAACAAATGTGATAATATATTGGTTACAATGAAAAATAAAATTTGAAAATGTAAAGTATAAAGTAGGTTAAACGAATTTCCCTGATTGCAATGACAGAATCGATGGTGTAGATCATCTCAAATTTAAATCGATCAGTGTTCATTGGTCAGATTTGTTGTCTCCTAGTAAAAGGGGAAACGAACGGCCCTGATCGCACCGACAGAATCAACGGTGTAGAACATGTATTTTTAAAATCTATCACTGTTCATGGGTCAAATGTGTTGTCTCGTAGTAGCAGGGGAAACGGACGACCCTGATCGCACCGACAGAATCAACGGTGTAGATCATCTTGAATTTAAATTCGTCACTGTTCATAGGTCAGATGTGTTGTCTCCTAGTAACAGGGAAACGAACGGCCCTGATCGCACCAACAGAATCAAAGGTCTAGATCATGTATTTTTTAAATCTGTAACTGTTCATTGGTGAGATGTGTTGTCTCCTAGTAGCAGGGGAAACGGACGACCTTGATCGCACCGACAGAATCAACGGTGTAGATCATCTCGAAATTAAATATGTCACTGTTCATGGGTCAGATGTGTTGTCTCCTAGTAGCAGGGGAAACGAACGGCCCTGATTGCACCGACAGAATCAACGGTCTAGATCGTGTATTTTTTAAATCTGTAACTGTTCATGGGTCAGATGTGTTGTCTCCTAGTAGCAGGGGAAAAGGACGGCCCTGATTGCACCGACAGATTAAACGGTGTAGATCATATCGATTTTAAATCCGTCACTGTTCATGGGTCAGATGTGTTGTCTCCTAGTAGCATGGGAAACGAACGACCCTGATCGCACCGACAGAATGAACGGTGTAGATCATGTATTTTTTAAATCTGTCACTGTTCATGGGTCAGA